TCTCTGGGTTAGGATGAGTCAGAGATAACGAATGTGTCACCCTGACAATCTTTTATTACTGTTTTTCTGCCAAATTTTAAGTCACTTTGTGAGTTTGACTTGTGCTCGACTGTTCACTAAAAATAGCCCTTACTGGACACCTTTTTCGGCAATATTTCGGACAATACATAATTTCTTTGTAATTAGCACCCTAGCGGCCCTTTCATTGCCTTTTTCATTGGATTTGCTGTCATTTTAGATTGCTTGTAAGGTATTTAATCTTGTGAATGATTGGCAAACAATGAACGCTTGTGTGTGTAGGACACCATCTTTGTTATCATGAAGAGTTATCTCCCCCTCGCACGTGCTTTTATAGACCCCAGCAGAGCGGGGTCAATAGAAATATGGACCCCGGCAGAAGATATCCAATCAGAAAGAGTGTTACAAACAAGAAGGGTGACAAATGTTTATATACATTTTTGTGAAAAAAACATTGGCAGTATGATAATTTTTCATTAATAATAAGTAGATCATATTTCATGAGTACCTAAAGTTAAATTTCTTTTGCTAAATTAATTTTTTCTTTGTAATATGGGCCATCAATGACTCATTCCATAAATACTGTGCCTTGGACCCATCATAAACTATTCTGTACCGTGCAGCATGTTTGTCTCTGGACTAGATTGATTTAGACTCGCAGCTTAAAACATACAGTAAGTCCCATCTCTCTGGACAGAAAACTACTGCTGCCAACCGTAGCATAGCTTAAAAGCAAAGTGGACAAGTAAATTTTGAATTAACCATTTCATTTCAAACTTTGTCATAAATATATCATGTTTGTCAAGATGGATGTGACATAGAGGTCCGGTGACATTTAATCCCTGACGAAGGGCTAAGCCCGAAAGCTTGGAAAAGAGTGACTTTAAAGTTCGTTAGTATTATTGCGTTCCCTATAGGAACATATGTTTATAGACAATTTATCTGCAAATTGTTAAATTTTAAAAAGACAATGATACTACACTTATCATAACTTAATAATTTGGTGTACAATATTCTTTTGATATCAAAATCAGCAAATGTGGTTGAAAAATTCTGAAAATTATTAATGCATCCGAAGTATTTAATTGGAGGGTGATACATTATTATAAGTGTTATAACCCAGTGAATGGTTGAGAGTATTTTTCAATCAGACGATCATCACTGTTATAGACATTTATCATGACCCAAGTATTAGTATACAGTTTACAATATATCCTATCATTAATTTGAAGGGTCAAAGTAAAAATGGGTGAATGGTTTTTTAGGTCACCTGAGCTTTAGCTCAAGTGACCTATTGCTATCCGTTTTCGTCCGTCGTCGTCCGTCGTCCGTCGTCCGTCGTCCGTCGTCCGTTAACATTTTACATTTCAAACTTAAAGTCAAGTTCTGCTGGGCCGATTGAACTGAAAGTTGATAGGAATGATCGCCTCATGGTCCTGACAAAGTGTTGTTATTTTTCGGGTCGATCAGAAATCCAATATGGCCGCCACGGCCACCATTTTGAAAACCTATTTCAAACTTAAAGTCAAGTTCTGCTGGACCGATTGAACTGAAAGTTGGTAGGAATGATCGCCTCATGGTCCTGACAAAGTGTTGTTATTTTTTGGGTCGATCAGAAATCCAATATGGCCACCACGGCCGCCATTTTGAAAACCTATTTCAAACTTAAAGTCAAGTTCTGCTGGACCGATTGAACTTAAAGTTTGTAGGAATGATCGACTCATGGTCCTGACAAAGTGTTGTTATTTTTCAGGTCAATCATAAATCCAATATGGCCGCCACGGCCACCATTTTGAAAACATATTTCAAACTTAAAGTCAAGTTCTGCTAGGCCGATTGAACTGAAACTTTGTAGGAATGATTGACTCATGGTCCTGACAAAGTGTTGTTATTTTTCAGGTCGATCAGAAATCCAATATGGCCACCACAGCTGCCATTTTGGTAAACTATTTCAAACTTAAAGTAAAGATCTACTTGGCCGATTGAACTGAAACTTTGTAGGAATGATCGAATCATGGTCCTGACAAAGTGTTGTTATTTTTCGGGTCAATCAGAAATACAATTTGGCTGCCATGGCCGCTATTTTGCTACTAAGTTCTAATAGGCCGATCTCACTTAAAATTGGTCTAGGAATGATCAGCTCATGGTCCTGACAAAGTTAAGTTAACATTATACTATTTTTTACTCAAATTGGTACATATTTCAACAACAAAAATAAATACTATAGACTCAGGTGACCGTTAAGGCCCATGGGCCTCTTGTTTACAAACAGAGAACAATTTAAGTTTTATAGGGCAAAAGTGATCAAAGTGTCATTTCTGTCTGTTTGACACATGATGAAAATATTTTACTGTAAATATCAATTTGGTTCAACATTTAAAGTTCCACAACCCCATGAGAGGGGAATTAAATATTTAAAGGAAGCTGAACAACTGAAATGCATAATATTTAGGTAGTATCTGCCTTTATTATACAATGTAGTAATACAACCTTAATACCTTTATTTTATTTATACGAGTAATACATGTACACTATGTATAACATGATGCTTTTATTCTAACAGAACAATAATGACTATATATAGAAATGTCCATATAATATTATATATTAGTTTAAATCCATATAATGATTTCGCCCATATATATATATTTATATATACTTAGTGTTCAATGTTGCTTTTAACGTTGATCTGGCTTTCTTTAACTTTGTACGTCGAATCGTTTTTCTATTTTTTTTAACGAAAATTACATTTGGTTTTTCAAGAAATGAATGTTAAAAGAGTTGCTGTTGTTCTTCTGCATATGTGTTGATCAGGAGAAATTGCTTGTGTTTCCACAAACTAATTTTTAGACATTTTTTAGCTCACTGCATGGTTATGAATGTTCTACCTACAGAAACTTTCTGCTTTAAAATAGCTGTATTGCTGGATTTTGTAGCATTTCACATAGTTATTGTGAAATCAGTTTGGCAAACTTGATGTTGTTAGGTAATCTGTTCTTTTGGCTATTATTTCTGTGCGTTAGTAAAGGAAGCAAGACATATTTTTCTCACCCTTATACAATTAATGTTATAAGTCTAACAGGATTAAATTTTCACTGCATATATTGTCCAGCTCAACTCAATATAAAACAAATGTGAAAATAATCAAACAGTAAGGAGAATATATTCTTTAACCAATTAGATTATATATAGTAGGTGTTTACTTGACTGTTATTGAATTTCATTTTGTGATTCTACTTGAAGCTGAAGAAGAAATTTTAACACATCTTTAGACAGGCCAGAAATTTAATTTACACTTCATTTATTTTGGAACATATCTAATCATTAGATAATACAAAACCAGTGTTATAATTATATATTAGCTTTGATTTTAACTACACTAAATCTTACTGTGGGATTTAGCTTAAATGGCAAAAGTCAGAAAAATAATTGTATACTGTGTACATAATAGCTTTGATTTCTACTAACTTTGATAGCTGATATTTGTATTGCACTTTGCCTTGACCAATACCTAGAAAGTGTTGATTTAGACAAGAAGACTAATGAATGCATGTAGTATTAATACTTTGCTAGTTTATGAGAAAGACGCAACTAAGATTTTTTTTTTTTAATACAAAAAGAATTACACCCTCAGATTTAAAAAAACAACAACAATACATTATACACGCTAAGTGATAGTTTTTTTAAAATATGAAGACATGAAAAGGGAGATTTCTTTTCTATATTTATAGTACATTGATTTATCTTGTAATTAATTACTTTAATTATTTTCATGTTAACTATGATTGTGACATATGAAGTCGTTCCTACCCAGTGCCAGTCGTTTAGCATAGTGCTTTGATTTGTAAGGTTATGCTGTGCTAGGTCTCTTCTTTAAGTGTGTATGTTACAATTTCTTGAGTTGGTTTCTTTTCTATGTTGAATTTCCATTTCAATGTTTGCCTCTGTTGTAAGAAACACGTCGTTTGTGCATGCTTCGTAGAAATCCTTACTAGTGATATACATGTAGAACGAATTTTGTAGGCAGAACACTAACACACGTAATCGTAATTAGTTCAAGAAGTCACGTCCAAATTTATTATACTATTGTGATAAATGCCAGATTCAGATATAATTCAATAGCATCTAAAGAAATCTTAACACTATCTAAATTAAAAGTTAATTCTATTCTGGCAGTTGAGTTATCATATACATACATGTTCTCTCTCAAGTCCTTATATTAATGATAAAATGTGTCACATAATAGAATATATAGTTAACTGTAATGAACTATTGGTATTGTCAGTAAAATTTCTCTTTGTACATGATATATTTTATACATTAGCCCACATTACCTGGTTTTTAAATTTAATGGTGAGTTTATAAATATTTTAAGTTTTTCCTTAAGTTACCAACGAAGAGTGAATTTCAATTCACTTAAGGAAATTATCTTCAATTTTTTCCATAAGAAAAGCTTATTGGAGTTTAGGAATTTTTCTTTACTTCAGTAATTGTTTCCTATTGAAAACTTCAATTTAAGAAAATTTCTCAAGCTGAGTTAATTTGTGAATGTCTATTAGATGTGTAACTTAAGGAACCTTTTCAACCCTTGATTTCCCTAATTAATTTCTGTTTGAATTAGAGTTGGTATAGATAAATATGTCATTTCATGTGAATAAAATAAAATAAATTTACTTGCAAAAGATGCTGTGCATAAGTATTATTCAATCTATCAAACTGTCAATTTACCAGTACTTTTTTGCAGAGATCTAATTTTTGGCCTTTTTTTGCAGTTCCCATTTTATCACAAAAGAAATAAAACAAATAAAAAAATGCAACTCAAAACATGAATTTGTAGATGCGTAGGAAATGTTGCACATGCAAAGGTGATGAGTCACCAGAAATTTGGAAATGTGCAAATATTTGGATCCTTGGTGATAAATCACTTTATCTGTATATTTTAATTATTGTTGAAGTAAGTTGTTTTTATTCTATTGTTACAGCTTGAGGAATTTGACTATAGTAAGGAAGATTTTGACCAAATACAAATGGTGTTTATTGAACACCGGTCAAATGCTGACCCACCCTGTGGTACGGCACAGAAACCAGCTCCTCAGGACTCACAATCTCCTGATGGTCAGAGCCAATCACAGCCCATAGTGTCGTCGGAGAAGCACCCGCCTCACCTGGAGCCGGAGGGACCTCCAGCACAGGAGATTGCAGGTGGGAATTCCAGGTATGGAAGTCCAAGAATCCCTCAGATGAATGATGGAAGACCAGCCATTGATGATGATTGGTTCCCGGACAGTGAGCTACCAGGTAATGATAATGTTGAACTGTAATTGAAGGTAAAATAACTAACAACTACTTGAATTGTACCTCTATAGACATTTGTATTGAAAAGGAATTGTATTGCATTTAAAATTGTTGATGCACTCACAGTACTAAATTAATGTAAAAGAAATACAGTAGAGCTTTATTAATCCTGCCTACAGTGAAGTCCACTTGTCTCACTATCAAGCCAGTGCTTTATTAATCCTGCCTACAGTGAAGTCCACTTGTCTCACTATCAAGCCAGTGCTTTATTAATCCTGCCTACAGTGAAGTCCACTTGTCTCACTATCAAGCCAGTGCTTTATTAATCCTGCCTACAGTGAAGTCCACTTGTCTCACTATCAAGCCAGTGCTTTATTAATCCTGCCTACAGTGAAGTCCACTTGTCTCACTATCAAGCCAGTGCTTTATTAATCCTGCCTACAGTGAAGTCCACTTGTCTCACTATCAAGCCAGTGCTTTATTAATCCTGCCTACAGTGAAGTCCACTTGTCTCACTATCAAGCCAGTGCTTTATTAATCCTGCCTACAGTGAAGTCCACTTGTCTCACTATCAAGCCAGTGCTTTATTAATCCTGCCTACAGTGAAGTCCACTTGTCCCACTATCAAGCCAGTGCTTTATTAATCCTGCCTACAGTGAAGTCCACTTGTCTCACTATCAAGCCAGTGCTTTATTAATCCTGCCTACAGTGAAGTCCACTTGTCTCACTATCAAGCCAGTGCTTTATTAATCCTGCCTACAGTGAAGTCCACTTGTCTCACTATCAAGCCAGTGCTTTATTAATCCTGCCTACAGTGAAGTCCACTTGTCTCACTATCAAGCCAGTGCTTTATTAATCCTGCCTACAGTGAAGTCCACTTGTCTCACTATCAAGCCAGTGCTTTATTAATCCTGCCTACAGTGAAGTCCACTTGTCTCACTATCAAGCCAGTGCTTTATTAATCCTGCCTACAGTGAAGTCCACTTGTCTCACTATCAAGCCAGTGCTTTATTAATCCTGCCTACAGTGAAGTCCACTTGTCTCACTATCAAGCCAGTGCTTTATTAATCCTGCCTACAGTGAAGTCCACTTGTCCCACTATCAAGCCAGTGCTTTATTAATCCTGCCTACAGTGAAGTCCACTTGTCTCACTATCAAGCCAGTGCTTTATTAATCCTGCCTACAGTGAAGTCCACTTGTCTCACTATCAAGCCAGTGCTTTATTAATCCTGCCTACAGTGAAGTCCACTTGTCTCACTATCAAGCCAGTGCTTTATTAATCCTGCCTACAGTGAAGTCCACTTGTCTCACTATCAAGCCAGTGCTTTATTAATCCTGCCTACAGTGAAGTCCACTTGTCTCACTATCAAGCCAGTGCTTTATTAATCCTGCCTACAGTGAAGTCCACTTGTCTCACTATCAAGCCAGTGCTTTATTAATCCTGCCTACAGTGAAGTCCACTTGTCTCACTATCAAGCCAGTGCTTTATTAATCCTGCCTACAGTGAAGTCCACTTGTCTCACTATCAAGCCAGTGCTTTATTAATCCTGCCTACAGTGAAGTCCACTTGTCTCACTATCAAGCCAGTGCTTTATTAATCCTGCCTACAGTGAAGTCCACTTGTCTCACTATCAAGCCAGTGCTTTATTAATCCTGCCTACAGTGAAGTCCACTTGTCTCACTATCAAGCCAGTGCTTTATTAATCCTGCCTACAGTGAAGTCCACTTGTCTCACTATCAAGCCAGTGCTTTATTAATCCTGCCTACAGTGAAGTCCACTTGTCTCACTATCAAGCCAGTGCTTTATTAATCCTGCCTACAGTGAAGTCCACTTGTCTCACTATCAAGCCAGTGCTTTATTAATCCTGCCTACAGTGAAGTCCACTTGTCTCACTATCAAGCCAGTGCTTTATGGGAGGCACAGGAATATTTTCACTTCAAAAGTATATTGTTCCTATTGTGGACATTTTTGCATTGTTATTGCTACTGCATGTACAATATTTAGTTCATTTTATTTTGTACATATATGTTCCGACATAAATATTTCATAACAATTAAGTAAATGTGAAATTATCAACAATTACCTCCGATATATTACTCTGGTTTTGCCAAGCATGTTATTGACTACCATTATTATTTTGTATCTGTTACAGACACCAGTGTGCATGTGACCTTGAGGTACACTCTGCCACCTCCGATTAAGAATGACTGCAAAGAGGTCAAGGACATCAACTTTAAGGAGTTCACAAGTACCTGGCTGTCAGTCTCGGCAAAGGGCATTGAGTATGTATTGATCAGGATTTATAGTGGAATTGATGATTCGTGTAGACTGTGACTGATGATCTAGGATTTGTAGAGTTACAGTAGAAAACCACGAGTCTCGACACCTGTGAAATCAAAAGGATAGTAAGATCTAATTAAAATCTTGTTTGGAATTTTGAATATTTCTGAAAACCCGTCAAAATTGTACTACAATGTACGTGTAATTTGAATAGGCGCACATCAGATATATAAGTTTGCCAATGTTTTCAGTACATTCCAAGGCATTAGTTTTCTTTCTGTCCTAAGTGGTCAGCCTCTCTCTCTCTCTCTCTCTCTCTCTCTCTCTCTCTCTCTCAATTAGTGGTCACTTTGTTCAATTAAAAAGTGGATGTCAATAGAAGAAATCAAAAGTATTCATTGTGTTATTTTGTACATTACAGCCTGAGGAAGCACATCGACTTTGACACAGTGATCAAGCGAGACTTTGAGGAGCCGTATTGTATGACAGACGTGACCAGTCCGCTGGATCTCGATAGTCTGCCGGGTATCACGCACAGCGAGACTCTCAACTACTTTGCCGAGACTGGCCTGAAGGAGGTAAATATCAGGTTTAGCTGTCAATTATCTCAGAGTTTCTTCAGCCCAGAGCTAACGGCAAAATTGACATAAAAATGTGCCCTGTAATAGAAAAGAAGAACAATCATGTGTTTACGCTTTGCAGCCATTTCATGACAGTTTGTTACGAGATTAGCTTGTGACAATTAAGATGGGCACCATGCTGGTTCTATTCAATGTTTATTATAACAATTCCTGTTATTTAAATAATTTGTACAGAAATGCAGTTTAAAAGTCAATGTTTTTGTAAATCTTTTATTCTGTTATTTAAACCAACAAAGTAGCCATTTGTTTTCAATAGAAAGACCCTTTTTAATCAAATTTAAGAGAACCTCTTTTGTGGTCATCTAAATAAAAGAAAGACTTAAAGTATGGACCCACCTTCATTCGATTTTTTAAAGAGTTGTTCATACTTGCCAACTTTTTAAAATTTCCATGGTGGAAATTATGCATTCTCAGAAAAGCATTTGTTGAGCTGTTTTTTCCGTTGAAATCATCAGATCTTAGAAAATATAAATAGTTTAGTAAATTTGCTGGTTGAAAATGCTCAATTTTAGGGTCCAAAATCGGAAGTCTTTCTCCAAAATAGAGAGAGTTGGCAAGTAAAGTTGTTTGTGAAAGTAAACTTCGGGCTACTACAATATAACAGACTGTCCAAGGTCATTTGGATCCCCAATATTATGATTGTGAACGAAAAATATATTACCCGTAACTTGTTGACTTGAGCTTGCTGATTGAGTGTCCCTGATGAAAATACAACAAACTATTAAACAAATCACATATGAAATATCCGTTACATCTATTAAGTACAAATATGTGAGAGTCCTCGACTGTAATAGCATCAGGAACAATTGAGGAGATTCTTATGGTTTACTGGGATAAATCTATTAATATATATAACAAGTCATGATATCAGAAAAAGGTTTTGTAGAGTACAGTTGCAGATTTACAAGTAACAATGCATGTCTGTACAGGTCCTCCAGAAGCTGGGTGGAGACTCCCAACCTGTAGGGGTCGTAGGGACCAGGATAGCTCATGCATTGAAGAAGGTAACAATTCTCCTGTTACAATGATTGTTTCAGCATCAATCTGCATTGGTTTGTAATGTAAATCTCATAAATAAAAAAACGTGTTACTCTGTTAAGGATGTCCATTTTTGTTGCTATGTTATAATTGACATGTTACAATTTGTCCTTGTGTGTTGACACTATGTTAATATAAACTTTATTTCATTCCAAATTAAGTTGCATTACATCACATAACATACAAAGTACAGAGGAATGGGATCCGGAAACAAGTTGAAATAACTTATATAAATCCGTTTCCGATACTATGTTAAAATCTATAATGTGAATTCATGTTTGATATAAGTAACCCAAGTTTTATTTGTGCCAGCGATTATACTGTATATTCATCTATTGACTTTCCTGCTGACCTTGCCTAACCTCTATACTTCCTTTGACCACAGAATACGACATCATGGGTTCTGACCAATGTGGCTGCCCTATACTGGAGGGTAGAGGGGGATGCCAAGAGGGCCATACAATGTCTCCGCCTCTCTTTGACAACAGCCCCAACAGATGTCAAGGTCAGTGTCACCATGCCAACATGCTACACAGAAAACATGATTACCACGAGTATTATTATGACAAATTCTTGCTTTAAATATAACAATCATAACCTTTGTATCCCTAGCTGGTAAGAAATTGAACATTGAATTTTTTAGCACATTGCGACCATTTTAAACTCATTATGTAGGTCAAAAGTCCTTTCAGCTTTAGAATGTCTTTTCGATATATTATATAAAGAAATGTGACCTTAAGGATTCTTGTACCACTGTTAAAAAATGTAACTAAGTATTGGAAACTGTTTTTTTCTGGCATGACTATAGTTTTGATAAATCATCCCTGAAAAGAAAACAAAACCTTGAGGGCCTTTTAACAAAAAAATAATTAAGATGAATTAAACAATTCATAATCAAAAATAGAGTTCTGAACAGGACCAACTGCGGTACAGTTATATCCAAGCTGTAACTTACTGGAACCAATTTGTTTTTATACCTATAGCTACACTTGTATTGGATCAATCTCCCTTAAAAACCAAATTGACTTTACAGTATTATCATTGTGACATAATAATCTTGTGTAACTTTCAAGTGTTTTATCGAATAAATAATTACATACACATTAGGGTATTTTTTTAGCTCTTGTTTAGAGTGGACTTCTCTAGAAAAGGAGATACATTTACTTTTGATTTTCTTTTTTGAAATCATTAAAGAATTGTGTTCACCGTCATCATGATATTATATCATGTACTATATGTCAGTAATGTCTGTAAAGAGTTTGTATATGGCGATATACAAAATTAAATATTATAAAGACATTTTTTCACATTATTCCTTTACCAGTAATATGTGACGTAACGTTTATTTCCTGTGTTTGCTCTAGGATACGTCCCTTGTGAGTATCGCCAATGTCCTTCACCGAGCTGGCTACATCAACGATGCCATCGTGGCTACAGATCTGGCCCTGCATATTTCCAAACGACTTGTTGTTAGCCATTTTACCATGGCCAACCTGTATGCTGCAAAGGTAAGCTTCACTTTTATCTTTTAAATTCACTATCAACATTTCTGTAAAAATTCAAAGACAATAAGGTTCTTTCATGCCCAGGGGTGTAGGATAGGGAAATTTCAAATTTGATAAAACTTGAGGCTCTGTCAAGGGTTTTACACCAATTTGAAAATCCAGAGGGAGGAATTTCCCTATTGTACGACCCAGAGCCAAGCATGAGAACTAGCTCAAAAGTCACAAATTTCTGCATCACAGCATAGGGATGTTCTGATCTTAAGACATCACCCCGTTGTAACATCACACACATGAAATTGGGTATAAGATCGAAATTTCTTACACACTTTTTACCCTGGACAGTTCTGTCATATGTTCACTGAAAATGTAGTGCTGACTTCCTAATGTATTTGGCCTAGCCTTTCTCACTGTTACGATTATTATGATCAGAGGTATACAAGTTTACCTGTTTCCGTGTTAATTATAAGTATTGGCTAGCTTGGTAAATGTCCTTCACTGTCAACCTAGCTAAAACTATTGAAATAGAATTACCTCCCTTTAGTAATATCCTTTACTTATCTGTTACAGGAACAATGGGACCAGGCAAAAATGTTCTACGAGTCTACTCTCGGTCTCCAGACCTCCTTTGAACCGGCAAAACAACGCCTGAAGGCAATAATGTGTAAAATGCTCAAAACATAACCATCCAGAATATTGTTTGTATTAAATATTTTTATCCTGTTTTTGTAATCCATCTGTTTTGGAGTTTTGCAACCAAATCAGGATTTTACACTGTCCCACAATGAATCACCCTCAAATGATAACAGTATTCTACATGTACATCAAACAGCTATTTTAATCATTCTTTATATGTATGTTTGCCTCATGTAATTACCTTTTGACACATGCTCCACTAGCCTGATGTAAGCACTTTTGAACACATTTAAACAAGTTCCAATATTTATCTAAATTGCTCATTAATGATTTATTTCTGTTGCAATAAAAAAAAAAAAATCAAGTTATACAATAAAAAAGAAGGCAAAAACAGCATTTCATTAATCAGAAAATGCTAAGGACACACACACCATTCATCATAACTATGTATTTCATCCCTTCCCAATCAGAACAGATTGGTGAGGTGAATCAGCTTACTTGGAGATACAAGGTTTGATATTATAAAATATTTATACATTTTTTAATCAGAAAATGTTAATTACTTGTTTTAGGTTGTAGTTCTGTCTACAGATCTCAATAAGACAAATTCTATTGACCTCTAAAGCATGCTATTTAGGAACCAAACGTTTCCTAGAAAAGACATTCCAGAAGCCTTAACCCCTAATATTGTTATTTTAATAAGACATTACATATTGAAGCCTGACTTCTACATATAATCAAGATTTATAACAGGGTACCTCATGTAATGAGGATAATTAAGCTACCTCTGGTCAAGTACTGACCATAACTGGTCAAGTATACTGACCGACACAGTCAAGCAGTTTGACTTGTCTGGATTTTATGAGTAGTGCATTTTTTTTTTTATAATTTTATATGATTGTGTGATTATTAGTTCTGATGCTTTAGTTGAAAATATTAACTTCAACAAATGATTGGTATTCATTAAGTACAGTAAAAGTTTGTTAATTTGATGATGTTGTGGTTCACCTGCTGGCATTTGAAAATTCAACAGTAGTGGGACAATGACTCGGTATAAAGTTCATTCAATTATACTGCATAACTTATTCATTAACTCATTATTTTGGATTTAAAATGGGAATAATCTAGATTGAAATGTTTATTTCATCTGTACCATGTCAGAGCTTATGTTGTCCTTAATTATATCTGGTCCGACTGTAAGACCAGACACTACTTACACTTTGCACACCTGAAAAATTGCTTGATTTTTTTTAAAGATGTAAAAACTTCTGAAATATATTCTGAACTTAAAAAAATTGCTAGAAGATACTGAACATAGTTATTGTCTTTGAAATATAATTAAATTTGAATATTATTTCATTTTACTGATTTTTTTTTACTGGGAAATTGTGATATAAATTTATAATGGAAAAATATCTTTTTAAATTTCATTAGTTCTGGGGAATAAATTTGGAGAAAAAATATTTTTAAATTGAAACAGTTTATTTAATTTAAATTTACTCAAATGAATTCAACTGAAAAAAGTGTTGTATGATATCATGAATGAACTAGAAATGATTTCTACAGTCAAATAAACAGAACATGTACAAGGGAAAAATAAGCAAAATTGGAAAGACATTTAAAAAAAATATGTTTTATATAAATTGTTTCATAGATAAAAATCAAGTTTTAGCTTTGAAACAATAAAAATATTCAGGATAAGCCTCTCATAATTACCTAGTGCTTGGAAGTGACAAATATTACCATGAAATATGTTGAAAAAGTGCTAAATATTTGTATGAATCCTGATTATGATGTATTTATCCATACATTATACCATTGTCTAATGATCTCTTTGTGTTTTCTCAGATTTTTATGATGGTTTGAATTTGCTTATAATCTTTGTCTTTTTTTTTATGTTGGGTGTAGTGTGCTTTCATTAATTGCAGTTTTCTTTTCAATTTCCTCGATTTTTGTCACAACAGGGTCTAATCCAACTTCTGAATGTTTTGACATCTTGTCTAATCCAATAAACGCTGTGATCCATTTACCAACGAAAACCACCAAATAAGACCTGTGCATTCTGTCACTCTGTCATAACAATATGTTGTGTCCCACAGGGTATCAGATTAGACAGGTTATTCTGACTAATATTGTAAATTCCATAGGGTGTCAGATTGCACAAGTTATTCTGACTAATATTGTAAATTTCTTATGGTGTCAGATTAGACATGTTATTCTGACTAAATATTGTAAGTTCCATAGGGTGTCATATTAGACAGGTTATTCTGACTAATATGGTAAGTTCCATAGGGCGTCAGATTAGACAGGTTATTCTAACTAATATGGTAAGTTCCATAGGGTGTCAGATTAGACAGGTTATTCTGACTAATATGGTAAGTTCCATAGGGTGTCAGATTAGACAGGTTATTCTGACTACTATAGTAAGTTCCAAAGGGTGTCAGATAAGACAGGTTATTCTGACTTATATTGTAAGTTCCATAGGTTGTCGGATTAGACACGTAAAACTTATCTATACATCATATCCCACAGGGTGTTGGATGAGACAGGTTAGTCCGACCAATGCGTTGTGTCTCTTAGTGTCCTTTTCAACAGGTTTATATGCCCAATAGGAACACAGATTAGAAAGGTTTTGGTGAACTTTTTTTTCTAAGATATTTAGGAAAATCTGTAGTCATGACCTACAACAATTAGTTACCCAGTATTAAATCTATGATACAGGGAAATCTGTCCAAAATGACTTCCACATGGAGGATGAATATAGTTTTTTTTTATTTATTTTTTATTAACAATAGAACCTAGTGAAGGTCTGACCTGTACAGACATCGGGATTGTACTGGGTATAAAAGCAGGTAGGTTACATTGTTACTGTGATTTTTGTAAGAGTTATCTCCCCCAAATTTTAATCTGCATTATTCAGTAAAATTTAATACAAGAATGTATACATTGATAATTAGGCTCATTTAATTGCCGAGAATACTGATCAAAACGTGATAATTAAAGGCAGCAAACTCCAACTAATTAAAAATATGAAAGGCAGAAGCACAAGTACATGTAAATGTATAATATCTAAGTAAGGTACATATATCTGTAATTAGCTTAATTTTTAACTTAAATCCAGTACTACGTTTATATGTAATTTCCTTGTGTATCACACAGATCTACAATATGTGTATTCTATGGTGTTTGCGTTTGTTTATCTTATACAGCAATATTCATGTTAAAAATTCTTGGAAGACATTCCAGTTTTGAATTTTCTTTAAATCCTAATTTATTTTGTGTATCCGATCACTTTAAATCAGTGATATGTGCCAAAACCTGATTTTCAATGAATAAAATATGGTATAAATGATTAAAGATTTATATGTGGTCTGTGGGTTACCTTATTAGTTGTCACACAATGAGATGGAAGAACTGATCTGGGTCATGGAATCGAGAGTTCGAAAACTTAAGGGAGAAATACTAAAACGTCTAACAGACTGGCAATTGCATATTGCAGAGCAAAACAGTTGGTATTCTTAGGCACGTTGTCTACTGTTGATGCGTCCTGCCTTGAAGTTTCATTATTTAAATCCTTGCTGTGACCCTGTCCATGTGACAGACTGCTGTGACTTTGACAATGGAGGTAACTGACTGGCAGCTGGTTGTTTGATATTCTTCTTGGAAGGTTTATTAAAAAAAGAAAATGCATTAGTCATGAGACAGAAATACGTTAAAAATTATTTGAAATTTCCTCCCCTTTTTTACCTTAAACTTAGTAGCACGGACCTAATGTACATGTACCCAAAAATATTAATCCGGTTATATTAAGTAGTCATGTCTCTGACAAGCATTGCACTGGTTTGAAATTTGACCCCGTGCTGTGACATTGAATTTGTATTTACATACGAGACTCGATGTCTAATCATATTTCGACCAATGAAGTTTCATAACATACATTTATATTGAGCCGTTGAGTTATGGTCAGGACTTTAAGTAACCCCATCATCATAGGTAACATGTAACCTTGTCGTGACCTTGATCTTGTCAATACCCCAGCATCATAGGTAACACGTTACCTTGTCGTGACCTTGACCTTGTGAGTACCCCAGCATCATAGGTAACACGTTACCCTGTCGTGACCTTGACCTTGTGAATACCCCAGCATCATGGGTAACATGATACCTTTTGATTCATTCATACAATATATGACGATACATGACTGTATGGCCCTAATGAGAACCTGGGACAGACAATATCTTGCAATTCTATTAAATGTAATAAATAGACACAATGTATTGTTATACTATATTACCTGATCAATGGCGGACCTTGTGAATACCCCAGCATCATAGGTAACACGTCACCTTGTCTTGACCTTGATCTTGTGAATACCCCAGCATCATAGGTAACACATCACCCTGTCGTGATCTTGACCTTGTGAATACCCCAGCATCATAGGTAACACGGTACCTTGTCGTGACCTTGATCTTGAGAATACCCCAGCATCATAGGTAACACGTCACCTTGTCTTGACCTTGATCTGGTGAATACCCCAGCATCATAGGTAACACATCACCTTGTCGTGATCTTGACCTCGTGAATACCCCAGCATCATAGGTAACACGTCACCTTGTCTTGACCTTGATCTGGTGAATACCCCAGCATCATAGGTAACACGTCACCTGTCGTGACCTTGATCTTGTGAATACCCCAGCATCATAGGTAACACATCACCTTGTCGTGATCTTGACCTTGTGAATACCCCAGCATCATAGGTAACACGTCACCTTGTCGTGACCTTGATATTGTGAATACCCCAGCATCATAGGTAACACATCACCTTGTCGTGATCTTGACCTTGTGAATACCACAGCATCATAGGTAACACGTCACCTTGTCGTGATCTTGATCTTGTGAATACGCCAGCATCATAGGTAACACGTCACCTTGTCGTGACCTTGATATTGTGAATACCCCAGCATAATAGGTAACACGGTACCTTGTCGTGACCTTGACCTTGTGAATACCCCAGCATCATAGTTAACACGTCACCTTGTCGTGATCTTGATCTTGTGAATCCCCCAGCATCATAGGTAACACGACCCCTGTCGTGACCTTGATCTTGTGAATACCCTAGCATCATAGGTAACACATCACCTTGTCGTGATCTTGACCTCGTGAATACCCCAGCATCATAGGTAACACGTTACCTTGTCGTGATCTTGATCTTGTGGATACCCCAGCATCATAGGTAACACGTCACCTGTCGTGACCTTGATCTTGTGAATACCCTAGCATCATAGGTAACACATCACCTTGTCGTGATCTTGACCTCGTGAATACCCCAGCATCATAGGTAACACGTTACCTTGTCGTGATCTTGATCTTGTGGATACCCCAGCATCATAGGTAACACGTCACTTTGTCGTGACCTTGATCTTGTGAATGCCCCAGCATCATAGGTAACACATCACCTTGTCGTGATCTTGACCTTTTGAATACCCCAGCATCATAGGTAACACGTTACCTTGTCGTGATCTTGGTCTTGTGAATACCCCAGCATCATAGGTAACACGTCACCTTGTCGCTACCCTGACCTTGTGAATACCCCAGCATCATAGGTAACACGTCACCTTGTCGCGTCCCTGACCTTGTGAATACCCCAGCATCATGGGTAACACGATACCTTTTGATTCATTCATACAATATATAACGATATATGACTGTATGGCCATAACGAGAACCTGGGACAGACAATATCTTGCAATTCTATCAATGGCGGATCAAGAGACTGGTCTCTACTGTTTCTCTATGTTAATGGGATAAGAATGTTTCCAATGAGAAAATAGATGGTATAGAAAATCCAGCAGTATGTTATTAAGAACGAAATCGAAGATGAGTCCCGAATATATCACTGCACCACACATTGATGTAGTACCACAACGAAGTATGTCCTGTGCGTGATCTGTAACCTCAGTCCTAGGTTACTACAGGTGCTGGCCAATAGCTGCACTCACCGTTAAAGTAATGTGTATTGTCAGTTATCCACTAAAAGTCTTCTTTTTTTGTGAAAGTTAGGAAATAATCATTGTTTCTGGGTGACAATGTAAATCATTGAACAAGTAGTGACTTATTGAGTTATTACAATGTAACGGTCCACCAATACAGAAGTCATCCTCGATATCCAGGGGTTACGCTCACCTTCGCTCTCTACAGCCCTGGAATCATCCTCGATATCCAGGGGTTACGCTCACCTTCGCTCTCTACTCCCATGGAATTATCCTCGATATCCAGGGGTTACGCTCACCTTCGCTCTCTCCACCCCTGGAATCATCCTCGATATCCAGGGGTTACACTCACCTTCGCTCTCTCCACCCCTGGAATCACCCTCGATATCCAGGGGTTA